CCGAAAGCTTTTTATTTTATCCTTTACGTGCTCTTTGCTTATAGGGACCATTTAATTTTGAGTCAATTAAAGTAGTTTGAACAAGTATGTGAATTTCATTGCAAAGTCCGACTATTATTGCATTTCAATCCAATCTTTTTATCCGTTATTTTCAGCGGTGGGTAGAACGAATATAGAGAGGCTGTTGTTTCAGCAACATTCTAAGCCACGTAGGTATGGAATGACTATGTCGACAATCTATACATACAACGCAAACATGCAGCACCTAAATAGCTAAATAAATTAGATGCGACGTCATCAGATTGTCCGAAAGGAGAAGGCTCAAATCATTTAACAGCAGAAATGATACCAGAGAAAAACTAGTTCTCCGAACACGCGACGGTAGACAATTCGGCAACTTTCGCGCCAACATTAACGCAATATTACCTAGAACATCCTTTCCATTGAACAACTAACAATCGGACGTTTGTATTGGAGAGATGTTTACAGATATCAGTTTAGACAATTTTCGACGTATACTAGACCAAATCAACGCAGAAAAAAGCGAATTCGAGGCATTCCACATGGAGGTAGAGAAGTTCTGCAGAGAAAACCATTCCTACTTAACTGCCATTATTAGCGACTTCTCCCTTCACCAACGGATCTCCCTCATATGAGAGATCTCGAGCCGGTTAGTCGCGAGGCTACGTAGCGCTTCCCCAGGTGGCGGATAGGGGATTAATCGCGGAGCAAAAGCGACCTTTGCTTCCCTGAGACGCAGGTGTATCCAGGCGATGGACTTTCTGTTTCTGCCGCACTGATTTGGCACATACTTTCTGTATTTGCTAGACGTATCAATGCATGCGCGTGTGGGTGCGTTCTTGCTTATGCGGGTTGTATTCTACGAATCAATTAGACCAAAAGCCTGCAATCAAGTGACTGGGAAATATATGCGAGACGGTTAGGAGTCGCCTCCAACAAACAAGCTCCATGGCCGCTCTGGGTGAGCCTGGCAAGTTGCCCGCGAGTATACCTAGCCCTCACGTTCAGAGCTCAGCAAGCTATACGTGGGTATCAAAAATGCTAAACACAGTAAAAAAAGAAAGAAACGGACCTCATTCCCCTGACCCCGAAAGAGCCCCAATTTCGCAGCGTTGGGTAGGACGAGTACGGAGAGACTGCTAAAATCTTAGAGCCAATGGAAGCGTTAGCGCTATGAAAGCTGAGAGTTCGAAAGTCACCCGAAGACGTTTGTCACCAGAAACACTCGAGCTGATACGCTAGCGTGGAATCGCACGAGCTGCAGGTAACCGCGAACTAACGTCCGAGCTTGCAAAACAATGCAGACAGGCGATAAAAGATCGTAAAGAGAGAAGAGCGGCAGTTACGGTTGAATCTGCAGAGGCTGGGAAAAACATTCGCAAAGCCCACCGAAGCTTCGCCAATTACAAGAACAAAATGATTGTACTCCGGCGCTCAGACGGAACAGTTACAGCGTCCAGAAAGCAACGCAGAAAATCATTCGCGAATACTACTCAGATCTCTTCGATAGCCACGTCCACTTTCCATCATATGAAAAAAGGATGGATATGTTGTACCACCGGTTCTTGCTTCCGAAATCCAACAAGACATTTCGTCGGTGAAAAATTGAACAGCACGAGGTCCGAACAGGATGAGACCGGAACACCTGAAGAAACATCCGCCAGTCCTCGTAAACACACTGGCTCGGCTCCTCACACGTTACCTGTGTGAACGCAGGGCCCCTACTCAGTGGAAAACCAGCAAGACCGGGCTATTGTTCAAGAAGGATGACCTGCACGATATCGGCAACTATCGCCCAATCTGCTTACCGTCTGTCGTCTACAAACTTTTCACTCGAGTCATCCTAAACAGGATTGACAGAACACTAGACCAAGGACAGTCATGTGAGCAAGCAAGGTTTCGAAAAGTATTCAGTACCATGGACCACATCTACACAATAACAAAACTCGTTGTGGCATCGCAAGAATTCAAAAGACCGCTCTGTCTCACTTTCATCGATTTACAGAAGGCCTTTGATTCAAATGAGATAAAAGCGGTCTTGGAAGCACTTGATAGTCACGGAGTCCCTACTCAGTACATAAAGATTCTTCGTGAGCTGTACAAAAATTTCACAGCCAAGATATCACCATTCTACAACGATATTAACATTGACGTAAAAAGAGGAGTCAGGCAAGGCGATACCATCTCGCCAAAATTATTTACCGCTACCCTCCAAAATATCATGCGAACATTGGAATGGGATAATATGGGAGTGAAAATCGATGGTCGGTAATTACACCATCCATTTTCGCTTTGCTGATGACATTGTCCTTATAACACCAAACATTAGCCAAACAGAACGTATGCTTGACGACTTTGATAAAACCTGTGGGAAGCTTGGTCTTCGACTAAATCTCACAAAAACGATGTTTATAAAGAACGGATTGGTTTCGCATGCCCCAACCTCAGCAGAAGAAAACGAGCAGCTTGGGAAGCTTTCAAGAGCTTCGAGGATGAAGTGAAGAGAACAAAGAACACTCGACTCCGTGCCCACCTTTTCGGCTCAACGGCACTTCCTGCCCTAACGCATGCGTCAGAAACCCGGTCGCTGCGTAAGTAGGATGAAAGGTCACTCAGCGTTATCGAACGCGCAGTCGAATGGACGATGCTAGGAGTACCCCATTCCACACAAGTGAGGAATGGGATCCGAAGCTCCGATCTGCGTCAACGATCAAAAATCAAAGATGCCGTTCTGTACGCCAAACAGTCGAAGATAATTCTCACAACCGATTTTCTTTTAACCTCGGCATTGATTGGTAATTCGATGTTTTTCTTCAATAAGTAGATACGAGGTTGTTATTATAGGATTTATTAGGATACAATAGCTGACGTTTCGGCGGTTTCGCCTTCTTCAGAGCCTCGAAAGGTCAAGTTGAGATGCGATCTACCCAGCCAAACACTTTCATAACCCTAGTAGATAAAACTTAACAAATAAATTTGTATTCGCATAAGAAATAGCTTCATTTAGACACCTACTGTCTATTTGTTGTAAGTATTTAAGTTAGTTGATGGATAGCAGCCCCACAGGGTAGTACATGAGCGATAACTGCGTCTGTGCCAGGTTATTGGATTAGCCTGAGGTATGGCGCCAGGTCACGCGTGATTACAGGACACTCCTCCTTACGGTTCACTTTTGAATTTTTGGAATTGATCCAAAACGCTTCAAGGGTTTTGCGCGCTGATGTCTTCGATTCGTGCTTGAGGGTAGTGACTCCCATTTCAAAATCTTCTCCATTGTGTTCCTGCATCCTATGCGCGCCTAGTGGAGTATTTTGTTTTAATTTAGATTTACCGACTAGGTGTTCTTTTATGCGGACGCAGAGCGGTCTACCCGTTTCGCCAACGTATTCGTCCCCGCACGCGATAGACTGTGCCCGAACTCATGCAATCACCGTCTCTACCGTTAGGGCAAATTATGCAATTTTTCGTTATACATAGACGGTCATATATGCGGTTGCGAACTAGCTGGCGTCGTAGAGTGTCCGATGGTATTTCCATTACTCTTACAGAATTCTCTAGACCGGCCCTTATTAAGCAACGTTTTATAGCTGCAATTATTTCGTTTGAAATAAAGGTCAAGAGGAACGGAGCCTTGCTTTCGCTAGAACTATCGCTCTGGGGCGTGGGTTTTCCTCTATGCCTATGCCGAGAAGCTACAGTTTCGTAACCATTTGAAATGACTATTTGCAGCGCCGGTTTCGAGGATTCTTCCCTCTGATCTCTACCTGTGCACACGCCGGCAGCAGTTCGAAACATATTTCTTATAAGCACCCTTTTAGTGTGTGAGGGATGAGAGGAGAAGTAATGAACCACTATATTCTTACTGCTTGGCTTTCGATACCACTTTGTGTTGTAGGTGTTTTCGAATAGGTTGACTTGAACGTTTAGAAATGGAAGCCAGTTTTCTTTCGGTTTCTCGCGGGTCAATTTTATGTATTTTGACTCTTCGTTCAATAACTCAAAGCATTTGTCCATCTCTTCTTGTGTGGAGCAGATGACAAAACAATCATTTACATACCTACAGTACAGTAACGGCCTGAGATCGAAAAAGTCGAAGATAAGATCGGCCGGACACGTAATGCGTATGAATGACAACCGATGGACAAGAGCCGTTACTGACTGGATTTCTCGGCATGTCAAACGTACTGCAGGAAGACCACCGACCCGATGGTCAGAGTTCTTCACAAAGAGCCTTAAAGAAAGATATGATGCTAGACGAGTCCCTAGAGCGAGCAGAACGCACTGGGCTACTCTCGCACGCTACAGGAAAAATGGAAGATTTACTGGCGCCAACTCGAATCACTCGGTGATCAACGGGACTTCAGGTGATTAGCGACTTAGGGCTAAAGCTGGATACAGAAGAATGTCTCAAAAACTTCACCTAGAGACCCATGGACTGGAGTGGAACGAAAAGGATGAGCGAGTGTCTGGACTTATCATGATGACTAAGACATACACAACGTTCATCTTTGATATGTCACAAATCCGCAGCCCCACATTCAACATTGTACGTGGTAGTCACCCTATAGGGCTATAATGAAATAGAAAAGCACATCGCAGTAAATCGAAAGTTACGCCTAAGCGACGTTGCCGGTTTCCCAAAACTTTACATAGGATCAAACCATCTCGCCTTTCTGCAGGATTGCTTTTTTCGTGAAAAGAAGAGAAAGAGAGCAAAATTCAACAAATAAAATCACAAAACCATCATAAATTAGGACTTTTTTGGATCAACAGATGGTTTGTAGGAAAATTCTATTGTCAAAAACATCGAAGATGACTACAGTCGGATTATTCTATACCTTTATGATAGTGCTAAGCAAGCCCTGAATTGGAACGTTGCCGAGAGACGCCTGTTACCAGAAACATCTGAGCTAATTATGACGATTTGGAATCGCAATAGCCTCGTACAAGCGCCATTTCTCGTCTGAACTTGCAAGGTTCTACGGAATGATAGTAAAAGACGATCTGAAGGCGAAGAGCAGCAGCGATCGCTGAAGTGGTAGAGGTGGAAAGAACATTCGCACAAAGTCCGCCGAAAGTTTGTCACTCACAAGACTAATATGGTCGCATTCAGACCTCTGGATAGAACACTCACGTCTTCAAAAACGGCAATGCCAAAACCACTCACGATTTTAATCTCTTCAAGAACAACGTTCTTCTGGCTCCATATGAAGTAAGTGAAGATACCGTCCAGCGGTTTTATTTTCCGAAAGTAGATATACTTTCTTTTCGCTAAAGAACCGAATAAAAGCTGGTTTGGACAGGACCCAAACACCTGAGGATCCTTGTGACACTGACGATTGACATCAAACATCTGAGCACCAACTTTTGAAGATCCTATTGCTATTCCTCATCAACATACTAACTTGGCTTTTCACAAGTTGCCTGTAACAATACAAAGTTCTTATTCAATGAAAGACCATCATGACCGCGCTTTCCTATAGAAAGGAAGACCTCCACATCGGCATCTATCGCCCAATCTGCCCGCTCTCTGTCGCTATAAGCTCTTCACTAGAGTCATCCCTAATAGAATTGAAAGAACACTAAATGAGGGACAGCCATGTAAACAAGCGAAGATTCGACAAGAATTCAGTACGATAGACGGCATCCATCGGATAAACAGACTTAAAGGAGTCAAAAGCATTGCGAAAGTACAAGAAACCGTTCTGTTTCCCCTTCGTCGACATAAGAAACGCCTTTGACTTAGTTCAGATAGGAACGACCTTGCTATGAATAGAGCACTCAAAAGAGTCTATAGAGATTGTTGCAAGTTATATAAAAGTTTACAAATTAAATAAAACATTTTCATAATGTCAACGATGCTGAGATCTTTGCAAAACACCAGACCGCAGGTGTATGCGTTGGGGAACGGACGCGCTATTGTCCTTTCCGAAAAGTAAGCTGAGAGAAAGGCGAAACGAAGGACCAGCATGGCGCGGTGGTCAACGCGTTATTCGCTAGAAAGGACAATATCGCGTTCGCTCCCCACCGCACACACCTACGGTCCGGAGTTTTGCAAATATCTCAGCATCATTAAAGTTGTATTTCGCAATATACCCTGCCAACAAAAAGAGCAGGTAGTAAATAAAACGGTTAAGACTGTGATTATTTCATAATGATATTAGCACCGTAGTAAAGAGAGGAGTTCGATAATGTGATACCATCTTGCCAATATTATTTACAGCCACTCTCGAGAAGGCTATGCTAGAACTGGAAATTCTTTGTGGGTAAGTGAAATTCAGACCTATACTTGGCAAGCTCAATGGATTTCAATGGCACGCAGATTTGTGGAGTAAACAGTTTTTATCCTCCCAGGCAACTCTAGCAACACTCGGCCGAACTCGAAACAATATGTAGGGTCCAGTTTTCCGGGTTGTGAGATCGAACCAACGACCTTCTGTGCATCGCAAGGCATCTCTAAACGCTATTCTACACAGCTGTTGAATAACACTTAAACCAGTTTTCCAAGTGCTGGCGTGACAGGTTTACATGCGCTGGTGACAATCAATCAGAATTTATGAAAGAGGTTCCAGCAATCGTTGTTAGGTAAGAGAGTAAGAGAGTGTGAAGAACCCAGGAGTCATCATGATGTGTTGGAAAGTGAAGAATGTCTTAGTGGTCCTCGTTTGGTGTGGGAGAGTGGAGGAAGTCCCGCAATCCTTGTGAAGTGTGGGATGGTGAAGGAGATCCTCGCAGGCCTCGTTTGGTGTGTAAGGGTGAAGGAGATCAGAGCAGTGCTTGCTAGCTGGAGAGGAAATGCACTGTTTCCCAGATGATAGCGTCAACAAAGTGTGCTAAGACGTCTCTCTCCGCGAAAACTACATGCAGTGGCTGCAACCAGCAGAAACCACGCATTTGCAGAGTCATCGATCGACCGGCACGCCGCGAGCGATGTCGCAGTTGCGCGGGCAGCATCGCTGGCTGTGGCGGTAAGCTGAGCACGAGGTCGTCTCGATCCTATCACGTGCGGAGGTTTTTCTTCGACGTTACGGTAATTTTTCTAGGATTCATATGTTTTAATCGACGCATTCGTGACGATAGTACGTATGATTTGTGTGGTCCATCAATTCCCACTCTACTTTCATTTGAATTCACGCCAATCCCTTACAACTAGGATCCTTCTAAGTTCGTTGTTACTTGCTCTATTTGGCCTTTCTCCTGCAAACGGCGTCTATGTCCTCCACTAGCCATCGTTCTCAGCATATCGATCGTGTTTACATTTTTATTTGCAATGTTTCGATGCGGAACTTATCTGACTTGTTTTCCGTGGTAAGAAATTTCAATCGATAATGTTTCATCTGCAACTTGTGACATTTATCGACCAGTAGAGCTGTTGATTAAGTGATGATTTCCTCCTGATCGTACAGTCTTGAGCAGTTTCATCGTGAAGCTAAGTGCTACGCTGATGGTGGCGTGTGTTGCTAGCATGACGTGTGTATTTACGGGCGCTTCTGCCGACTACGCTACGCGCTCGCGCCATACAACCGTGGATCCATGATGATCATGCATAAATCACATTTTTACACACACCCCTAGTCATTTTAATACTAATAAGACTCCGTACGGCCTCGTCGGTCCCAGTATTTGACGACCTCTGTGTTGTCACGTGCAATACGTGTCCTTTCTGTTTCAGTTTTATCGATTAAGAACAATCTGTTGAGAATATCAGATGATTTGAAGCCAGCAGAGATCACAGTTTTTGCAGTGTTTTGTGACAAATCCTCTACGTAGTGTACTGTGGTCGTCGTTGTTGATTTCTCTGTAGTTAGTTTCTCCTCGTCTGCGGTTTTTATTCGGTGACAACGAAACGGTTCCCGTTTATGCGAACGTATCAACGGTAGACGTACCTTCTCATGTCTAGTGTACTCAAACTTCATGTTTTCTTATCTAGTTTTCAACTTTCCCTACATTCTTCGCTAGTACTTTACCACTTAAGCCGGCGCGTGTAGCGCAATCGTCGGAGGCACTCTGCAATATTCAAGGCATCGATCTCCACGTCCGTGGCTCACCAAGCCTTCCATCCCTCCCGGGTCAGCAAATTGGTACCAGAGTTGTCTGGGAGGATAGCAGGACCGACTCGATACATCGGTAAGCCACTGGGAGTCATTGTAAAGGCCAGATGTGCATTCATTCACCTCCAACGATGCTTAGTGAAGTCGAATGCATGGCGCATCCCTCATCGATTGATCAACGCTGAGGGGATTATCGTTTTTATCCTTTTAATTTATCACTTAAGTTTCCTGTGTTGTTTGAATATTATGCCTTAGAAGTGGTGTCTTTTACGACTATTTCGGAATCTGTTCAATATTGTTAAGATAATTTTCGAACATATACATCACTACGCTAGGTTTTGTTTGGGGACCACCACTTGGCATTCTGTCTAATTTTCCTCCGTGTGCGGTGTGCGCTGGAAAACTCATCCGAAAAAAGGTGTTTGTAGACTGCGTCTAACCTAACACTCATGTTGGATAAGTTATTGATTTAGAACAAAAAGTATAGGAAATAAATTCTTCTGGACATAAGCAGTCGGAAACAATATGCGTTGAAATCAATGCATTCCGTCTCTTATTTGCTTACAAATGCAAAAACACGAGGTTGTTTCCGGCTTTAAGTTTTTATTCTCATCATCACCATAGTAAATTAAATACAGAATCTTTGTTAGTGAGTAGTCTGTGGTCGAATCAGCAGAACACAATGTTGTCTGAGAAGAAAATATTTGTTGTTGTAATAGTTCGAGAGATCAGCTTTTAGTTAACACCGCCATTGATAATCAAGTTATTTTGTTTTGTTCTTATGAACTTTCATTGATCAGACGACACACTTGTTTTTGGTTTTCAATGGCTATTGTTTAAAATAAGTTCCTGTTTTAATTCGGTCATCACGAGCATGGTGCTAGTCCGATTCCACTCCGGGCCAACCAAGCCTCTCATCCCTTTGGTGTTGGGAAATTGATACCGGACTTGCCCGGGAAATAATCGCTCTCTGCAATCCAATTGTGAACGATCCAATCCAATGAGGGACGCGAGGAAACGAATGGGGTTTGAGGAGTGCTGTTATCCGTACCGTAGACGTGAAGACGGGTCATGTAAAATAAATTTTAGAAAATCTTTATTACTTTATACCATACCAGGTGTCTTACTCCTTAAATAACGAAACTACTCTGAAGAAAGCGAACTAGTTGAAATGTTTCAAATCAGTTCGTAAAAACAAAAGAGCTCGTTTGATAATGAAGAGTTTTTCTGTATAGCGAGTCTTCAAGTTTTTTATGAAATACATCATCGTAAGGGCTAGCTAAATGTGCAGTCTCCATCTGTCTCAAACAACACCCTGTGACGGTTCGTACTGGCGGTGTCCCGTTGTCCGAAGCGTAGGCCCATTCCTGCTGCGACGCATGTCAATAATTCTTGTATCTCTGACGTCGTTTTGCATTCATGTTTCGTTTCGCATTTCTACTATGCCCATTTTTTGGATGTGCAATTTTTAGATGTTCGATAGGCTGACCGGTAACGGAAACGGTAACAAAGTGAATATGCGAATTCATGTGCTGGAGCAGATTCTGTCGTCAATCGAAACGGACGGCAGTTCAGCACGGGTGATTGGTGATGCTCATTCTCCATTTCGATTGCAAAGTCAGGAAATGAGCGAAGTCATTTTGAACGTTTTTGAACATAGAATTTCTTAAATGTTAGTAGTATCACTGTAGTAACAGTATTAATGATGGTTTTATAATAATATTAGTTCTTTAAACTTCGCATAATTTCAATTCATCTGACACTTCCTGACTGGGCAAGTTCTGTTTTCATGCGAATTAGCGAGTGCCTAAGTCGTTACACAAGAGGTTGTCGTTTTTGAAGATCCCTGTGAGGTTTCGTGACTAGGTTTCTTCGAAAACGATAACACTTCCTTCCACAGCTTTGTTTTTTGCTGGGATTCCGGATTAAATTTGGGAATTGTTTCCGTGGCTAAATCTCAGGCTGAGGCAGTTGATTGTCCTTTGAAGATAAAGTTTTATTTATGTCATAGTTGGATGTTATTCAAGCACACCACTTGCTGTGCCAACAAATTGTCGAGCTAGAATGGAATATGAGTTGTAATGATGATGTCGCATTGAATCCGAGGAAGCTATAAGATCTTGCTTTTGTAATCGACTGGCACCATATTGGTCTTCTAAGCGCCCAAAAAAGCGCTCTTTATTCACACGCTTTTGAAACCAGTTGGGCATCCCAGTAATGCAACAAAGCGACTCAATCCCAGGCAGAGGTTGCAGGTGAGCGATGTTTACTCGCAAAGAAGCAGTGGTGCTCAAAAAATGTCAGTAGAGCTCTTCTTTGGTTGGTGAAGCTTCTTTCAAATGAATCTATAACGAGGAAGCCCACTTCTACTGTAATCAGAACTATGTTTGTAAGGATTCTTTATTCTTATTCCTTAAACTGGCAGTAAGTTTATTTAGAATCGAACAGTTTTGAAAGTTACCTTTCACTTTTTCGGAACGTTGATTTCCAGGTGAATTCGTTACGACAGGTGATAAGGCGTAACAAAGCAGATATGGCCGACGATGCAGGAAAATCGCTTGATTTGATGCGAAGAGTGAGTTTTGAAGATATACTGATGACATCTACGATATTTTACCGAGCGCTGCAGAATCATGTGTTGAAGAACATCGAGCTGTGTGGCATAAAAGAGAAACGAACTAGTCCTATTATTAAAGGAAATTTTTCGACGTCGATCAATCGCAGGGGTGCGCCATGCATTCGACTCCACTACACATAGTAGAGGTGGTTGAATGTTCGGCTAAGATGACTTGCTCGTTTTAATCTATGCACCAACTGGGTATTTTGGTTCTCCAAGGCAGGTGTTGGAACCATTTTCTGATCTGGTTGAGATGAGAAGCTTGATGAGCGCGGAGCGAAGGAGCAAGTCGCTAACCGCATTCTGTGGCCTCTCTAACCCCCACTCTGCACGCACTTACAATGTCGTTCTGCCCATTATATGTTAGTTTGTTTAATTATTCGGAGATGAAATTGCGGCTTTTTCAAGTGGAATGGAAAATTTTTAAGTTTGGCTTTTTTTTACGTCGGTTTCTGTTTTCACTAAGAAAGTTCAATATAATGAAAAACTTTGATGAAGTGCTTTGTATTGTTCAATATTCCATGGGCTTTGAGGATCAGGCTTTAGCCCAAACAGTTCTATTCCCTGTGGACGGTATACTTTTCAATTCTGGTTTAATATCTGAAACGAGTTTAGGTAATGGAAATCATAAAATTGTCGTATTATACTGCAGCAAGAGAATGGAATTGGAATCAAAAATGTTCGAGGAAGTTCTTCATTCTGAGAAAGAAATGGTGATTAAAGGTATAAAATCATGAGAGGTAGCTGGAGAAATTGGGCAAACCCGTAACATAAGTAACTATTAGTGGCTACAGTCAACCAGCCCTTCTGATTGGAGTAGACGCAATCTTGGAAATCGTCAAAAACGGGACCAGTTTTTGGACAAGAAAAAAACTAACTGGCTTGTTTTTGGCGTGTTAAGCAGAAAGCAGGAGATGAGTTTTTATATAAAGGAGAGATCTTGAGAAGGATTCCTTTATCTCTGCGGACGTTCCACCTTGCGGAGTTGTCATGTGCAAAGTTCTACTGGTGATGCGCGGGAGAAGTCTCTGTTCCCATTTTTGCAATTTTCTTTTTAAAAACCCTTGTACCACGTTTTATCGATTATCCCTCTATTACAAACTGTTCACATGGCCCGATTTTATACTTTCTCCGAAACTCAGAATTCATTCTGTTCGTTTCCTCGCACCCATAATTTAGGAAGGTGTTCGGATTTACGCGTAGGTTGGGTCGCTTCTTGAAGATCTTGATCTCCATTTGTAAATCTCTTTGAATTCTGGGCAGGTTCATTCTGGGACAGCTCTACTAAAGCGTTCCCAAGGTTGCACCACAGGCAACTACGTTCATCGGTGAGAGGAACTTCTTACCAGAGAAATCCTTTAGGAGTTTACTGATTTTTGGGAATATGGGGTATAATTAACCTTCAACTGGGTTGGATGAGCCGTTTGATAATTATCGTCGTTTTACTGGAAACATTTCTTTTTCTGTTGAGATGCTCCGGCGAGTTCATTTCGTCATGAAAATATATACTGGCACAAATTTTAAAAAAGCGGGGATTTTCTCTTTTTTATTTGACGGTCAAGAATGTCTCGCTGAATCTGCCCATCTTGAGTTAGCAACAGAAACTAGGAATACAATCTTTTTTTGTGTTTTCTGTTTTATGCGGGTATAGAAGTACTCATAACATTCTTGTGGTCATTAGTTCGTCATCACTTTGTTCATTGATGTGGAAGTAGTATTGAAAAACATCTCCATGGAGGGGAATAAAATTTGCAAATTGTTAAAGACTGAATAAGCTAGGCTCATGTGGTGCAGTGGTCGGAAGCGCCGTTCGACACACGTGGAATCGGTACCAGCGCCCATGGCCCACCAAGCCTTCCATCTCTCCGAGGTCGAGAAATTGGTACCAGACTTGTCTGGGAGCATAGCAGCACTGGCTGGATACATCGGTAGACAACTGTGAGTAGTTATTAAGGCCAGATATGCTCAAATGCTTGGCACATCCCTCAGAGGTTGATCAACGTCGAGAGCTTTATCGTTTTTTAAAATAAGCCAAGCAATGGGATCGATTGGCTCCGAGGTCTTTCTATGATATTTCCATTGTGATGTTTCAGATTTTCCAAAATGAAATCACCAAGGAATTGCAACAGATCATGGATCGACATATTCGCACTACGTTCTCGCCAGCTATCGAAAATCTCAAGAACAATGGACATGTGAGCGCGACTTTAATTGAAGTTACTGGTAAAGCTAACCTCATCTTTGCTATTCGTCTATTTGTCCACAATCATCCTTCGACTTCTATTCACCATAGCGCTGAGCTTTATGTGTTCCTTTTTCAATTTTCAAGAGAATAGAAGTTTTATTCTTTCTTTCTATATGGTCAATAGATCTTCACTTATCATCAGATCTTTGACGGAAATCGACAGTATCGTGAAAAGCACTCACCAGGCTGTTGTTTCATCTCTCTCATCCATTCTCATTCATTCTTCCTTTCTGATCCTTTTTCGAATTGTTTCGTTCCCATTTTTCCTTTCCTCTTTTTCACCTTGTTTCTTCTCGCCTTACTGTAACTTTTTTCCTCTTTCACTCTTTCTTTCTTTTGTTCTGGCTCCTTATTTCAACTGTCTACAATGTTTCTTGCATTTGTGTTCCTGCTCTGATAGCCGTTTAGAATTCTATTTCTTGCTTCTTTTTCTACTTTCTCACTAAATGTTTATTCAGATACTGTCGAAGGGTCTTCGTAGTTATTTGATAGGGTTTCAATACTAAGTTATTTAAATCTTTCGGAGACAACTAATTTAATTCTAAATATCTGCACTTAGTGAGGTTTTCGGACATCAGTTTTTTGCTTAGCGAAAAGTTCAATGAAAAATTGTTGTGAACTTGTTATTTACTATCTGCTACAATTTTTCACGGATGTTGAGATATTTGCAAAACTGCGGACCATAGGTATCTGCAGGGGATCGAGCCAGAGTTTTCTACTTATCCATCCAAAAAGTTGTTTTCTCAATTATATCGTCACTGAAGAAAAGAAGCTGACATGCAATGACCATGACTTTTCCCATATAGTAATTGTGCATAGTCCTTGTGGTTTCAGGAACGTTATTTGTTTTAGCTTTCAGGTTGTGGATCAGAACGTTATCAACGACCTCTGCACTAGTATCCTGGATGCGGCGAAAGTCCCGTTCATGAGGGATCGCGCTGCTAACGTGAATCGCAATCGAGTGAACTCGGAAAGGAGCAAGGTGAGCCGTCTGTCTGCCCAATGGTTTGTTCTGTCTTATCGCGGAGAGAAAGCGTGAAAGTATAGAGTGTTCTGCCGTCAGCAGTATCTTATGGGTACTTAACGCATTTGAACCGATTCATACCATAATAGAGCTGGTTGAATGCATGAATTGCCTACGTAATGGACATGCCGCGGCCTAACAAAATGTCAAGTCTGAGTTTAGATGTGCTACGAATTTTATGAGCCAGAAATATGGCAGACTTCGTTTGACCTGGGGGCGGAATCGTATTAACGACAGCTTATGTTGCAGGTTCCTTCTAAGAATTGCATTACACGCGGCCCATGATGAAGGTCATGGTGAAATCCTAAAAATTCGTTTACCGTTCTTAATGCTGTTTTACGTGTAACGGTGACTACATCACTAAGTTATTATTTTGAAGAGAATAGGCTGAGGTTGTTATAGAGCGTTGGTAATGAGAAATGGTAACGGAATACTAGGAGTGAATGAGATCTGGACTTCCACGCCTGCATACAGCTTTGATTAAAACCTGTATCTCCTGAGTTTCAGTTTATCAACTAATAGGTAATTCAGAATTATTGGAAGGTACTATGTAAGATGTTACCACACCATGTGCGACTACAATGTCTGCCTGAGAGATCGGACCATGGGAAAAAAGCTGGGTCTTGTGGGATCGGAAGCAGTTGTTAGGATAATGTTAGGCTAAGAGTATGCGCAGCTATCATGTTTTTGCTTTTTTTTTTTCTTAAGGGATCTTCTTTCTCTCTGTTATTCTATTGTGTCGCTATAGATTACTTAGCCTGTAAATTTATCTCTACGACAGTGGAATGTACGTTGAAAATAAATCACCGGAATTCCCCATATAGATTAGTCTCATTGAAAACAACAGCCACAATCGGGTGTCAGTCATAAATTTGTATAGCCTAGCAGAGGTGAGTCTAATCCGACTTTACCCCACCCCAGCTCCAAGTGTTTTTATCGGATGCACTTTTCTGTCTTACTAATTCTGTAGGAATAGGTAGTTTCGCTAATGACGGTCTCGAATCAGCTTAGTCGAATTAATCACGAATATTGAGGCAGTCGTCCCAAAAGTACATGTCAGGCGACGATATTTTGAAATGGCTTAGGTTTATCTGTTAAAATTGAAGGTTAAATCTTGGTAATGATATCTATATAAAAAGAGCAGAGTGATTTCAGAGAGAATATGAGTCGGATGAATCTGATGTTAGCATACTCAGTAAATCAAGCGACATGAAACGAAGACGTGGAAGACCTCGAAAGGTAGTGTTTTTCAAGAAAAATAAAGCGTTTTGAAGGTCAATTTTGTAGTGTTCTGCCGATTTTTTGATGGTAGTTCGTTTCTTGCGTGTCATTACTATGAAACTGGTTGATCGCTGTCGTTCTTCAGGCCACGATTTCCTAAATATTTTTTTGCTTGACATTTCTTGGGCGGGACAACTTGGATAACATTTATCACGTAGAATCTCTCTCTAGAAGACGGATTTCACGTGTTCCCTATTAAAGGTTAAACCTAAAAGAAAAACTATTCGTTGTATATCACAATGTTATACCTTTTTATTTTCTGCCTACTATAATTTCGCGGCAGGGTACTAAGCGAAATACAACCACAACGTTGCTGAGATATTTGCCGATTTGGGCGCCCCAGATCAATCCCGCTGACGGGTGATTGCAAAGGTCGATAGAAATAGCTGAGAGACAGGCGAAACAAAGGACCCGCATGGTGTGGTGGTGAACACGTTTGTCCCCGGAAAGGACAATAGCGCGTTCGTTCCCCACCATAGACACCTGCGGTCCAGAGTTTTGCAAATATCTCAGCAACATTGTGGTTGTATTCGTTGTATAGTTGAGTGGTGCAATAGTCAGCTGATTTACTTAACTTTAACGGGTTGTGTTTCCAGGATGAAGAGCCATCGTCATTTGATCTATCTCCTTTCACGTTGCACGAAGTGCTAAAGTGGTCTCCAGAACGTCATCTCCTAACAACTCTCTACATTCCTGCTGCCAAAGTCGCGGCCTTGCTCTCAGTACCAGTTACCGTATTCTTTAGCAAATATCCGAGGATGTTTAGAGTATGTCTGCTTACTTTCTTACCCACAGGCAATCCTTGTATTCTCACTGTCCAATATTACGTTGTAATATTGCCTCATCTTGATATTATTTAGACCATATAATACTAATTGTTTAATGCTGTTATTCACACAATGTCAAGTAAAGGGGTGACGGATTTTTTTATGCAAATTGCTAGGTAAGGCACTATATTATGATAAATAGAAGACGAAAATCAGCTAGAAAGCTATGGAGAAGGAAGTGCTTTTCTCACTTCTCCATAGCACATGCGATTAACATGCCATTCACCGAATCTTACTCAAGGTAATCACAAACGTTTTCCATTTATTAGTTCTACTACCGTTCATCTTAACGGTGGCAATAAGTTTATGAGAGAGGTTCAAGGAATAAAAGGCCAGACATTACAAATGGTGTAGATAATTTATTCTGGAGAGAATAAGTCTCTCGTGGTATTATTGAACGATAGAAGAGTGAAGAGGAAATAAAGCCTTCAAAGAGCACGTGCAGAGGCAGATTTGCTAAGATATCGCGTCGGGTGGACTTTTTTGGCTTCATTTTCTGGGAATCTATTTTTCGTTACAGAATACTTTCTTCTATAATGGTACTATATAGTTACCCAGTTGCACATTACAGTATTCCTGCGATGAAGAGGATCGTTCACTTTTGATGGAGGAAAAGAAGCTGTCAAGGGGAGTCGGTCGGTGCTATCTGATGATAATGGACGACATTAAGGAATTGCTTGGTCGATCGTAAGTTTTTTATGAAGTGGAGTCTTTTCATTATTGAATTCATTCCGGGTTGCTTAACGAAAAATTTCTTTTCCCATCTTTTTTTTCATTAAACATTACGCACTAAGGTAGAGAAGTGGTTCCCATGTTGACCAACAACGGGAGTTCAATGAGTTGTTTTATCCTTTGTCTTTCTATACGTACTTCTGAAATACTGTTGGAATATATCTGCCCGAAGTTCTTAATGTGTCGAAGATCATGAAAGAAGACTAATTTTGTAATTATCTAGTTTACAACTTCAATAATGCTGAGATATTTGCAAAACTCCGGACCGCAGGTGTCTGCGGTGAGGAGCGAGCGCGCTATTGTCCTTTCCGGGGAGTAATGCGTTCACCACCACACCATGCGGGTCCTTCGTTAAAAAGTTAAAAAGAATAGGGAGTAAGTAAAAAGGTTAAGATTCCCTCACTAGTTCTACCTTTTCTTTACTAAGCGCCATTTCCCTCGCTAGATCTGCCTTTTCTTTACTCGGCTTCCCTTCTCTCGGTAGCTCTACGTTTTCTTTGCCCATTTCCTATGTTTTCTGGCCCGCTTCTCATTCTACCAACCACATACATAATCGCGTCCATTATCGGTTTCGATTTCACGTAACACCGCACCGCGCGTCCGGCGTCCACGTCTCTGGAAGTTTCCGCGAGACGAGCCTGAAAAGATGCAGCCACTCAAAGAGGGACAGTTCAAGGGATTTCCTGTTCTCTTTCTCTCTCTCTTCGTCTGTCCTTCTCTGACTGTCTTCATTTCTTATGAGATTCAGCTTATTCCAGTTCTTACATCAATAAAGCTAGCATTTACGAGTGTAATACTCGTGCATGGGAAGGATTTAGAAAGCAATGCTTTCAAAAGTGAAAATAATCTTTTAGTGTGACATACGACATGTTTTGTGATGAGAAAGGTTTAAGAATTTACCTTCTTAGGAACAGAGAATAACACAATCTGTTTGCCCTAACTTTTTCTAGTGATGAATCAGTAGGTATCAGGTTAGGTTTCCTGTCAATATCCTAGAAATTAAAGGTGAATGAATTCAGAGAACCAAAAAAATTCATGAATTCGTCTCCATCAATCATTGTAGAGTTGATTGCATGCATATTTGGACAAAAAAATGATTTACGAGGTCTACCGATCTATCACGACCGTGTTTTTATGCTCTCAGACCAGTCTGGTACCAATTCGCTGACTCAAAAAGAAGAAGGGGGCTTGGTTTGTCCCATGGTGGGGTCGAACCGACGACCATGTGTACATTATAGGGTACCTCTATCCATTGTGCCAGAAGTGTTATTACTGTGATACGGTTGTTTGTGGTTGTAAAAGAATAACGCCAGTTTCGAAGCTTTTTCACACCTATACCACCTCACTTCTTTAGCTTAATCACGACAAAGCTGATTCGGCGAGAACTGCTTATAAATTTTCGGTAACTAAAGCGTTGGAGTTGAGAATTCCTGGAGAAAGAACTTTGAATTTGGAAATTGAAAGAATTTTGGGGGTGGGGGGGTGTTTGGGAAATACAAAGTGCCATTTTCACTTTAAACATGGAAATATTAGAGGGTTCTTGAATTTCTTAACACAGTCGCGGCAATCCCATCGCCGACGCATTCGAGACTTGACGTGCTGTGCTTGACGAAATCCCGATGGCTGTAAACTTTTCTGCGGAAATACGGTCTTTGTTTGAAAAAGCAGGAAAAGTTCAAAGGGTTCATAAAGTCAGAATTTCTTCATATTAGAGTGAATAACTTTATATCATATATCACGATGGTGAGGATTCTTTCTGGATGCTGAAATTCATCATGAGCTGAAATGTTTTGGCTTAAAGTTTAAGATTGACTTTATATTCCGACATACGCGCATGGTATTCAATGCGACTTCCTGCGCGGTTGTTAATATGTTGAAGCAATCGGATTGGCCTCTTTCTCAGACTTCCAATCGCTCTGAAGATTTTGAATTTTGAGGGCTGCCGGCATTGCTATGCAGCTTCTAAAGAGAGACTTGCTCTAGATAAATTGGATAAAACGTTCGGTTTTTACCAGTCTTTGAGGGTTGATGATGAATTCGAGTTGGTTAAGCATTGTAGAGGTTACACAATACCTATTTGACTTATACAATGGCTCGCGGTGGTTCAGGCATGCGTCATGTTAGTGTTTGTATCCACCCAAGCAAATCTAGTACCATTTTTCCGTTGTGGGAAGGATGGAGGAATTGGTTTGCTCTGGGAGCAGGACCAGCCAACGGTGTTTTCTACATTTAAGGGAATCTCTGAGTACTGTGCCACACAAACACTCCATACAGCGAGGATCATGGAAAAGACTGCAAAATTAGAAAAAAAATACAAACAAAAGTTGTGTCGAAATTACGATAATTTAACTTATTTGTTAAAGTTAATTATAAGTTAAATTAATTGTTAATTTACCATATTATCTATTTTTTACTAATTTTTTTGTGTTATTATAAAATAAAAATTTGGAAAATTACGTAGCATTTTTTTCATTTCAAATTATGATATTTCCGAACCCATTAATTTCGTTATTAGGGTTCGATTTCAGTCCTGATCTCGAATTCGCCGCTTTTCATCTGAAAGAACACCTTCTATTAAAAATCCGCTCGAAAATGTTACCGGTATTCGAACGATTGAAAGCCCGGCTACCGCCGTCAGTTTTCAGCTTCGGTCAATTATCCACTTGAATCTCATCGCATCAGAGTGAGCAGTACGAAAATCCCTCCGATATCGAGTACTTTCCTGATGACTAGAAGCTTTATGATTTTTTTGTTTCTTTGAAGGAGTTTTGCTTTCAAGACTTGCCAAATTTGATTGGAATAATGTGATGAGGGTTCTGTATTTTCATAGCCGAAATATTTTTACAATGCTGTGTGTAGCATTATTCCCTTACAATGAATGATTGGGGTTTTTGAAAATGTTTAGGAATGTCCAATATGTCCTATTACTCGTATTTTCGTAACTTTTGTAAATAAAGATGTTTCTGATTTGCTGCTTGTTTACACTACCTTGTCGTCGACAATGATCAGATGGGATAAAGCTATAGGACATCTTACACACTATATGTTAACATCCACGACCATGCTGACCATTACGATTTCAAAAGAACAGAAGAAAAACGGCTAAAATTAGGCTGATAAGGCAAATCAAGGGGGAAGTGAGCACATGAGCAATGCTCGACTTTGAATGAAAGAGAATATGTGGCAAGAAGAGGGTCACCTATAGCAGACTGACCCTTGTTGAAAAGTGGATAATTCGATGAAGAGATAGCAGGTTAAGCAGGTTGAGAACTCTGTGTGCTTCGGCTCTACGATTCATCTCTAACATTAGGCTTAATTCACTTTTGACCTGTACCATGACTCGTGGGTACCTGCCTTGGTGTGACTTCACCATTCTTATACTTTTGGAGCAGTCGGGCACAATTTGTCGATACTTGGGGTGCTGAACCTGTGATGTATGTATTGCAAAGCACCAATGAACAGTTCACTTCACGTGACCCAGTTTGGTATATTTCAAAAAAGTATCGGAAGCGTCAGCAATTCTCGCTTGAGTTAATGTCTTCTGAAGACCAGCCGATACAACAACCATCGTTAAACTTGATAGTGGCTAGCAATACTATAGCATTAAATCATAGTGGCGAAGTATTATTAAATTGGTGCAAAGATAGTGGCGGGTTTTGGACGGTAACGTTGAAACTATGGTTTCTTTTTTTTTTGTAACTGTAATTTGTAATGATGGCACAACCCAGTGAAACTCAGCAAAGTGACGAATTCTTTGAGGGGATTTTAGGCAATGGATTGCTGTGATCGGTTCCTCGAAATGGTTCAAAGAGCTTTGATATGTTAATTTGATCACACAGTAACCACAACCTTTTTCTGTTGTAAATTTGCCTCTAGAAAGTGTGCAGAGGCTTCAGATCGGGTCAACCACTGACCCCAACAATGTCGATTCTTGTAAAGGCAATGTCTCGCATGAGATGATCGCAGTCAACAGTTTTTGGTTCCTCGCGCTGTAAAAGCCGCAACGGTTTCCTGGAACAAAGCCACCTCGTTTAAGATGAGCAAGCGTGTTGTTTCCCACCTTTATGGACGAGATGTATCCGGCTTTTTTTGTCCATAATTACCGTCCCAATGATGATGGCGCCATAGCGTTTTTCCATTATAATTCCCGTTCCTCTCAAAAAGTGGAGAAATACGGCAGTCACTTGCAAAAGTTTCCTTAATACTTTTATGCTACAGTGAAGAGTGTGTATAATGGCACGAACTTTGAAGAAATCCCTGTTAAAATAGAATTGAACAGTTTAATTATGCAAGGAAATGTCTGTCATCGCCTCGCTCTACATTCCTTCCATCTCATGACACCGCAAGTCATTCGACAAGCCAGATATGTACTCATTCTCCTCTACTATGCTACGAATTGAATCGAGCGCATGGTACGTCCCTTAGGGATTGATCAATGCGGAACGTGCTATGCTTTGTCCTTTTCATCCCTCATACTTTCGTCCACAATATGAAGGCACTGATCAGACAAGCAATTAGAACGCACTGCAGAAAATGTTTTTCTTTCAGAGATTTCCATCTTAAAATTTCCTGGTCTAAGTCACTGCGAATATGTATTCCTTCTTTGTTAAGCTTACACGAGGTTGATAAACAATCTTGGTTCAGCTAACGTTTCGTCGTCTTGGTCTTCATCAGAGCCGGTGATCCGAGTCCGTTTATCAAAGATATAAACAGTGATTAAAGGTAAACTATGTAATTAAGACATCACCACGGATATATACAAAGTGCTGGTCTGGAGGCTGTGGAAAATAGTCATTTCATTGAGGAGTGTGTTCAAGTGGTCCTTACAGCTTGAGCTTGATCCTCATTAATTCTTTAACAGACTCTTGAAGCATTCCACTTAGTTTAAACTGATCTCAGTTGAGGAGTGAAATTTTATCCACAAACTAAAACTTGCATCACATTTATTTAAAAATATGG